AGTCATTTTAGCTTCTAGGGAGAGTTCTGGCTTAATTTGATCTAATTTTTCTATTGGAAAAACTGGGTAACTGGGAAATTTTAGGGAAGACAGAGAAATCACCTTTTTAAATGAATGAAATGGGCTAAGATTGCACAGGATACAGCAATTTGCAGCTTCTGTCTACTTTAGTATTTGGTGCATGTGCAATTTTACTGGTAGAAAAAGATGGCTTTTAGAATGCAATCTTGGGAGGAGGGGGTAGAGCCAACTGGCCAGCACACTGGCAAAAAGACATAAGAACATCCCTTCTTATATATAAAAGAGTAGTGGGGACCAAAGTTCTAAAATGCACTTCTTTAGTGTTAGGCCGAAAAAACTGCCACTCGGAAGACACTGGCTGGGTTCATTGGCTGCTTTGTGCAGTCCCGGCCAGCGTTCCAAGGTCATTTACATATGGAAGCTGATTGGACTACACTCCATTCCACACCTCAAACTCACCCCCCCCCCCGCAAGGCAGTTGGAATTTTCAGTTGGGAGAGGAGAATGATGTCAGCTGCTCCCTAGGCAGAGGCTGTGTGTGTGTGTGTGGGGGGGGGTTGTAAAGACAGACAGGCAGATAAACGTTGGCTGATGGTTGCCAACTCCCGGTTCGAACTCCAGGACATAGGGTTGCCAACTCCAGGTTGGAAACTTCCAGGATATTTTAGGGATGAAGCCTGCTGAGGGTGGGATTTGAGGAGGAGGAGGAAGAGGGGGACCTCAGACAGATACAATGCCATGCTGCCCACACTCCAGACAAGCTGTTGCCAGTCTCCAGGTGACAGCTGGAGAGATCTTAAAGCTTTGGTGCTACTTCAAAGTTCCCCAGGAGCCCAAAACAGAGTAGTGTTTTGGAAAATCTTGAGGAATTGTTTGGTGCATTTACGATGGGGCTCCTGGGGAACTATTGTTGCCAATCTTGGCCCAGCAGCCATCACACCATTCTCTTCAACCCCCTGCTGTGCAGCTGACTTTCCCCTAGGGTTGCCAATCTCCAGGTGGGACCTGGAGATCTCCCGCTGTTACAATTGATCTCCAGATGACAGAGATCAGTTCCCCTGGAGAAAATGGATGCTTTGGAGGGTAGACCCTATGACATTATACCTGCTGAGTCCTTCCGCCCCCCCGCCCAATGCTGCCCTCTACAGAATCCACCCCCCAAACCTCCAGGTATTTCCCTCCTTAGAGCTGGCAACCCTACATTCCCCTCAGTGCCTGTTGGTAGGCAACTAAGCTTGGTCCTGTCACCTACTTTGGCCTTTGGGAGAAAACACATTGGGGCTAGTCCTGATAGGGTTGCCAACTCCAGATGGGAAATTCCTGGAGATTTGAGGGATGGAGCCTGAAGAGGGTGAGGTTTGAGGAGGGGTGGGACCTCAGACAGGTAGAATGCCATAGACTCCACCCTCCAAACTGCTCAGTCCCTCATGGGGAACCATTGTTGCCAATCTCCAGGTGAGGGCTGGAGACCGCTCAAGATTACAATTGCTCTGTAGAAGGGAGGGCAGAGGTCAGCTGAAGTCAAAAGGGGCAGATAATGGCAGGTTGATGGTTAGCTGGGAAGGAGATGGGGTTGCCAACTCCAGGCTGGCAAATTCCTGGGGATTTGAGGGGTGGAGCCTGGAGAGGGCGGGGTTTGAGGAGGGGTGGGACCTCAGACAGGTAGAATGCCATAGACTCCACCCTCCAAACCAGCCATTTCATCCTGGGTAACAATTGTTGCCAATCTCCAGGTGAGGGCTGGAGATCACTCAAAATTACAACTGCTCTTCAGGTAGCAGAGATCAGTTCCTCTGGAGAAAACAGTGTCATTATACCCTGCTGAGGTCGCCACTGTTTGCCCAAAGCCAGAGCACTCTCCCAGAGCCTCTTTCTAGATCTCGTTGTATTTATTTCCACAACGGGCCTTATTCCTAGTAATAATATAAAATACATCACTATTAGCAATATACACACACACATAGCAAAGGAAGCAATAGCAAAGGAAGGAGACAGACAGACAGCTAGCAAAGGAAGCAATAGCAAAGGAAGGAGAGAGTGAGAGAGCAAGAGAGCGCAAAGGAAGGATATATGGTTGGGGGAGGATTTTAGGGCATCACAGTGAAACTCAATCCAAGAGTCTGTGAATAAGTTTCAGTTTTTCTCCTCCCCTATTCTGTTTCAACTGAGCAACTCTGATCTGCTCTGACCTGGATGGTCTGCCCTGATTTAGCCTAATTTCAAAAGCTAAGCAGGGTCAGCCTCACTTAGTACTTGAATGGGGGGGGGCCACCAAGGAAGACAAGGGTTGCTCCGCAGAGGTAGGCAATGGCAAACCACCTGTTAATGAGATCCAAATGTGCCCTTCCATATGTGAAGGTGTTTGCTGCTAGTGGCAGAGTTGCTTTATATTTTGCACTACTGCAGTGATAGTCACTCAGAATTTGGGAGCCACACATGGCTCTTTGACATGCCACATGTGGCTCTTCTGTTCCCCAATGTGGCATCCACCCCTAGTTTTAGGAAACTGGGTAAGGCCTTAGGGGGCTGTGGTTGGCAGGTGGTTCCAACCTTGAAACAACCACCATGGCAAGTACTGGAGGACAGGTAAGCTGCAAGCCACATGCTTTGAGCCCGCATTGCGGGGAGGGCGGGGTATAAATTGAATTAATTAAATAAATAAATAAATGCTTTCCTCTCCAGTTGCCTTCCACCCACCCTTCTCTGCAGCCTCTGGACTCTCATCCCAGGACCTGGGCAATGTCAGGAGGAGAGGGGGACGGCCACCATCCCCACCGCAGCAGGCACCCAGGGAAAAAGCAAGGTGCCCACAGTGTGGGATGGGTGGATTTACTCCCCTTTCTTCCCAACCAACTTGCTCTCCTCCTAGGGTATAACCATTAATAACTTGAAGCAGCTGTGGCTCAACTTCCCTTCCAAACTGCTGCATGCCTATACATACATGATCTATCCATTTACCAATTCATCTGCCAGGACTAAAAAAGCTCAGTGGAACTAAAGCCAACCCAGATGGAGAGGTTAGTGTATACAGTTTTTAGGCTGCTTTGTGTATATTTTCCCTCCTCCTTAAGTGTTCTTGGAAGCCCTTTCTGCAGAATTGTTTTATTGTGCCAAGAATGCAATTTGTTTTGCATTGTTGCACACAGTCCGCACACAGCTTCCCTCAAGGCACTGAGTTTCTATTAGGAGTATATTACATTATTGAGAATCTGTTCTGCAGTACAAAAAATGAAGCATATCATGTGGTTGTTATGTTTCTTTTCTGTGTTTTCACACAATCCTGGGCAGGCCCCAAGTCTGCAGGCAGGGCATCTCACATACTCCCAAGTGGCTGCTGGCAGTACCACCCAGTTATAAATAATTTGAAAGATGCCTACCTAGCAAAACACAGAGAAATAGATATGTTTTATTGCACTTGATTCTATACCAGTCGTCCACTGTCACATTTCCAATGACATCTGTTGATTTACATCTGAGTTTTACGCATGTCAGTTGACACAATTGGGCCTTCATTACACACTGGCCTTTTGGGGAGAGGGAATCGAGTAATGCTCGCTGTGAAATTCGTATAATATTTGTGCCTGTGTCCTTCTTCCCCAACCTCCCTCCTGGTTAGCATCAGAAAGTATTTATATCTACCTTTTGTCGAGATGAGAGCAGCTTCACTCTGTTCGCTCGTTCCAAAGACGTTAACAGCTCTCACGTAGAAGAAATAATTTATGTTTGGTTCTACATTAACTTTCAGTTCCAGTCTTTTAATTCCAGCCAGAGACCTGAAAAGATAATAATTTATATAAAAGTAAACAATGGCTAAATCCTGCATGATAAATTTTTCATTTCCCCCCCAAAGTGTGCATGTCCTGATGAAATGCTGTCACTAGAAAACAAACAAACAAACAAAGCAGTCCCTCAAGAAGCTGATAGGCTATGAGTGGGCCACAAACCAGACCAAGAAAACTGGACTATAGGGTGGCAAAGAGGAGAAAGAAACTATTTACCTGTCATTTTTCCTCCATGGACGTCAAGCTACCTTCCCCCATTTTATAAACTTGGAGGAGAAGCTGTGTTAGTCTGTGGCAACAAAACTGAACAGAAGTCCAGTGCCACCTTAAAGACTAACAGACAGGTTGATAAATAATAAATCTAATAAAATTTGGCTAGGCTTTTAGGTGCCACTGGAGTTCTGTCTAATTTTCCTCCATTTTATAATCCCCAGTTCTAGTTATAACTTGATAGTATTGTTACTGGTGTTATTTATAATTGGGTTTTGTTGTGGTGGTTGTGGTGGTTGTCCTTATGGTTCTCTCCTCTCTGTGTGGTCTGTGAAAGAGGATTGTGATATTTTATTGAGAATTTTAGCTGCCCTAGCCCCCTTGTCAACTCTCCTTAACCCATGGAAGTTCATTTTTGTTTGTTTGTTTCTTGGAAGCCACATTTTAAAGGACAGAGATAGTTTATTGCATCCTGCACTGTGTGTTTAGTTGCCACTATGTTTGTGAAGTTCAGTCAAGTTTTTTCACCCAGTTGTCTCTTTGTTTCATTAGCTTGGATATCAAGAGCAATTCTAATGAAGAAAATAAAAAGTTATGACAACTGTGCTGCTAGAGCCTTGGTTGATGTGTTTAAGTAACCTTTTAAAATGTTTCTCCACATGTTGCCACCAAACTATCTATTTTTATGAGCCTTTTTTGATATTGGTGGTATTGTGCTTTGAGAAGACATTAAATAGAATTTATTAATTAAAAATACTAAAACAAAACCCCTCTGAGGTAAATTAGGTTGAGAGAGTATGCCTGGCTAAAGGAGCAATAATTTTCACAGCTGAGTAGGGGCCAGTACCTGCATCTGCCCAGTTCTAGATCAATACATTCAACGTTTCACCCCCAGGTCTTAATTATGGCTACAGTCCGTCACCGCAAGGCTGGTGGGGTTTTTGTGCTGATATTTTTCACACTCTGACTGCCCTCCCTTCTCATGTGAACCACTTTTGAGACTTGAGGATTTCAGAAGTATTTTTTGATAAAACAGTGGGCCAGTCAACATGGAAAGCACAAAGTCCCACGGATTCCTTTTTCAAGCTCTTGACTATGCATAGAGTAGTTTGAAGCCCATTTTGCCTGCTTTCCTTCCCAGCTTTCCTGACTCTTCAGCATGTGAAAAAGGCTTGCCCTACTTCCAAGACACCACCCCTATAAAACTAGAAACAAACAATAGGACTCCCCTCCCCTTCAGAAAGAGAGAGAGAGAGAGAGTGCAAAACAGGAGTGTCACTGGAAGAGCCACAAATGTTTCTATCAGTTTTTAATATGCAAAGCAACTGCTGGACCCCAATTTGGATACCATTTTACCAACTGAAAGCAACCTCGATCCATCCCTACATTTTTGTTTTAATCCCTGGAAGGGAATAAAGTCAGACTTACCAGGGCTCTTTTTGTAGAAAAAGCCCAGCAGGAACTCATTAGCATAATAGGCCACACCCAACACCAGAAACGTATTAGCATATTAGGCCACAGCCCTGCTAGCACAGCTCATTAGCACATTAGGCCACACCCACATGTTACCAGAAGTGTGGTTATCCAGCCACACCCACCTTTTGCTTGTTATTCTGTTTACCTTGTTTGTTGTCAAAACCCAGGGGTTTTTTTGTAGCAGGAACTCCTTTGTATGTTAGGCCGCACACCCCTAATGAAGCCAATCATAATGGATTTCTGCTGTTGGGTGTGGCCTATTATGCTAATGAGTTCCTGCTGGGCATGGCCAACTTGGGAGCCAGCCGGAACTCCATTCCTGTGCGTTCCTGCCCAAAAATAGCCCTGCTAATAACAAAGAAGACTGGAAGTGGTTTGGACTGGCACAACTAACCCATTGCATAGTGGTTCTGATCTGAATCACAATCCAATCACAGATTTCCTAGCATCTCATTCATCTCAAACCTTGAAGGCATTCTACTGGTGACGAGTGCACATTTTGCTTTCGCTTTAAGAAAAAAGATTTTGCAGGTTTCTGCGCTGCTTCAAAAGCTTGAAAACCCTATTTGACCAAAGACAACAGCAAGAAGCAAGAAAGTAGTGCACACTCCACAGGCACCAGTGCCTTTATACATTCTGATATCTTCAGCTCTTTTTAGAAATTTTGCCTGTCCATCCTTCAAAGTTGTTGTTTCACCAATCTTCCACCAGGGAGCACTAGAAACTGAAGAATGATCAGTACTTATAGTTGCTGGTGTTCTTAATTTTTTTAGCATATGTCCTTTTCATAAGTATAGTCAAAATTCTCTTATTTCTTTAACACATTCCTTATGCTGAAGGAAGGCTACTTAATGTCAACTCTGTTCCGCATGAGAGAGGTTTAAAGGAGTAACCTCATGTTTATCCCTACAATGTCTTTTATGTCACACACCATTTTTTTAAAATTCAAATATAACTGATTTTTCCCCAACCATAGTAGAAGACTCCAAATATGTTAAGATCCTTTTATTCTGAACTGAGCTGAACTCCTTTGATAGGCTTGATCACTCCTGCATTAGAATCAATGCGACAAATATATAATCAGATGTCATTCAACTGAATTAAGATTGTAATAGCACGTCAGTGGCCATATTCCCTAATGCCGCAAGGTGCATGTCTAATATAAATGGTGAACATTCCTACTTCTGGTCGGCATCATTATAGGAGATCATCTGGCCATTCTGAATTCCCTGGAAGAATTGATGAAATACAAATAGAGAAGGTATCCTTCAAAGGCTGGGAAATGTTTAAGAAAAAGGCATGATTAATGATCATTTAACAGTTCGTGAAATTACTTAAAATGACAATGGCTTTGAGTCTAACTGCAATCTGCTCACAGCTGGCTTTTCTGCTCCCACTGGTATCCTCAGAATAGCTGTTCCGGAGGCATAAGGTTGCAGTGAGAATGAGGGGAACATGCGTGAAAATGGGGAGCCCCCTTTACAAATGAAGTGCCTTCTGCTGTTGTTCTGCATGAGCAGATCTGAATCCCAGCCAGTATTTAGAAGACAACCCACCCACTCAGTTACGGTTCAAGCATCAAATGGACTTTGGAGATCCATCATTGAACATGTAATGCTGAGATACTAAACTGATAAGAGACTCCTCCATGTACTACAAAACAAAATGGAAGATATCTTCTTTTACATTTCTATACCTTGGATATGTTTGTTTTTAGGTGTGTTATTTGTTGTTGTCTATGACAGTGCTTTGGTTCCTCTTTTTAGTGGAAGTGCTAAGAAAGAATTTTTTAAAAGCAAATTAGCTGGATAAATGCACTGAAACACTGTCACTCTAATTTACAACCCCCATAACCCCAGACTTCTGCAAAACTACAGGCACATTAATTAAAACCAGGAGTGATGTGAAACTGCTTATTTCAACTTCACTTATGAGTGTTGAAAAGCACCTCCTGGTTTGGGTGATTTTTCGACATTCCTTGTGTGAATGTATTAATGTTGCTTCAAAGCTGTTCTTCTCTATGCTATTTTCATTTTTCTTCTTTGTTTTCTCTGGCCTCAATCTTCAGTACCCTCATTGCTATTTAAACCTTCATCTCAGTCTTCTTTCCCCCATCCCTCTGAATCCCCAGAAAAGTGTCTGCAGGACGTGAGGGACAAGGCTCTATTTGGCTGGGGGACTCAGTGAACACTGAGAACCCACTTTCCAAAAAGGTTGGGCCTTCCAGTTGTGCAAGAGCATCTTTGAAGCCAAGCCAGTACTTAGAAGACACTCCCCCTCCGATTAGGTTTCAAGCATCAACCTGCTTACGACAATTGACTATCAGATATTTTCGCTTTTTCCCCTTTACCCTCACTGCTCTTTAAACCGACTAGCTACAGCAACCCCCATGGAAACTTCACACCATACACAAAGTTGCCACAGTCAGTCAGGTTAAAGAGCAGTGAAAGCACTTGAGGCCAAGGACAACGAAGGCAAAGAAGGGGGTGAAGAAACATGAAGATGAGAAAAAGAGCAGCCCATAGAATGAAGACAGCAAACAGCACTGAAACAATGCAAATGTCAGGAGATGTATTTGTTTGGCTGGGCCAAATGTGGTCATTTGAGGTCAATACTAGAAAGTCTTCCCTACCCTGGATGGCCCAGACTAGCCTGACCTCATCAAAGCTCAGAAGCTAAGCAGAGTCAGGCCTGGTTAGTATGGGAGACCACCAAGGAAGTCCAGGGTTACTATGCAGAGGCACGCAGTGGTGGCCCGCTTCTGAACACCTCTTGCCTTGAAAACCCTATGGGCACTTTCCACAAACACAGAATCTTCAGCGAAGCTCTAAGATGAGAGCAATTGTTTATGTAATGTTAAACTGTAGGTTCCTCGGGGCAGGCATCTATCCGTCTTTTTGTCCTCTGTAAACCACCGTGTACATTTATAGCACTATATCCATAATAAATCATCATAATAAATGATAAACCCTGGCAAGCCTAGTATCAGTGCCTTCCTACACACCATCAACACACACACAATATTTTCACATAACAAATGCTGGCAAATGCAGGCTGTTCCAGGCGTTCCAGGAAGTGCCAGCATATGCAGCAGCATGCAGAGGAAAACAAACTCGCGGGCTCGACAAGCAGACTGCAGCAGTCTTCAAGCAGCCCTCCCTCTCGCAGGGGGACCAGTCATAACACACCTACACAGGTTTATATGGCAAGCCATTTTGGGGGCAGGGTGGTTCAGCATTCAAACCACGGCACTGCCAACCCTTTTTCCTCAGGACAAAAAGTAGCCAGCAAGAAAGACAAACA